GGATGCTCTAATGAAGAGTTAATAATAAAGATCTTGGCTCAAGATAAATTTACCGAGGCTAATCTTCGAAAAACAATTTGATCTGTTTGTACCAGGAACGTAGTACGAAGTGATGGCTTTATGGTGAAGACAAAACCTTGAATAAATCTAATCAAGCTTTATAGTTTTTGGAAACTGACGTGGGGTTAACGAATGCTTAATGCTGTTAAGTATTATTCGCTTTTGTGCTTTGTCACTCTTTACCTAACTACACCTTCTTAACGACTTCACACTCCTTTAACTTTAAGGCACAACGACGTTACTATCCGGTTTTAGGTTTATTGCTTAAAGAAAACTCTCAAGTGGGTTCGATCTGTAAGATTTATTCCTTATTCATTATGCATGATTACATCACAAATTAGCTACGCCAAAATATTAACATTACAAGAATCAACAATACTTTATATTGAACTGCGGAAGCATGAAATGAATATTAAAAATAAAACTTGTGGCCTTCGTTTGTGAAAGGATTTAGATATTTCACTACTGATAATATAAACTTAATGTTGACAGAATTTATAGATAAGCTAACACTTAATTCAAAAAAATAGATCTTTTCAGTCTGTTCATCCCAAATCCCAAAGACTGGCTTCATAATTGAGAAGACTGAAATGACGATATTATCAACTTATGACGAAGATTATCTCACTGTCGCGGGCTATTTTCACACGGGACTTCCACACAACACTATACTTGGAATATTGAAGTTGAAAAATGCCAATTAAACTTATTAGAGATCATAAAGCATATAAAAGGCGGAATGGTGGTTTTATGTCGACATATATAATGTTTCATGGCACAAAATTCCCAAGCGATTTATTAAAAATCCACAAGATACGTTTTGCAATGAAGGATGTGGAGCATGCGGAATTATGCGAGAAGGTAACAAAACAAAATATGCTTCAAAATACTACTCTGATAAACGTCGTAAGTATTTTTCATAACCTTTTCATATATCATATTATTAGGTTTAATTAATTATACTCCTCTTTTTTTTAAGATATGTGGTTTGCCAATAGTTCATACACTTCATATTACTATTGTGATCGCTATAATGCTATTACGAACGCAATGTTTGTCGTCGAAGTTGTTGCCAAATATGGTGATACCTATTTTATTTGTTTCTATCAAGGACTTGTATGCAATCACTTTCTTTTAATATAATAATCTTATTGTTATTGTGTTTAAATCAGGCTACTATTCCAAAATATCTTATCATCTTTCGGTGAAGAAAAAAATGTATGAGTTTTATGTAAGTCAAGTAAATGTAATTCAGTAGGCTTAAAAATACTATATTAATCTTATAAATTATAGCTTGAAATTTTACACCAGAATCAACGCGAAATGTCTTTTATAGTCTATTCGAAAATTTTCTTCAAAAACGCGAGACATTGACCTTTTTGTCATCTTCATACAAATGTAATTAAAAGTATTGTATTCTGAAGGTTAAATTGCAAAATTTTGAATTTATGTATCCTGTCGCAAATAGGCATCCCTTTTTTTACACTAATCTGTTTTTAAAAGGGCAGTAATACCTTTTTACCGCAGTAAATTTTTTATTAACGTTAGCTTCTATGCTTTACATAAAAATGTCTATTACTGGAGATGTACGGTAGCTATCTGCTATCCCACAAAAAATTTCACCCCCCTCGTGATTTTTAACCAATTCCCCTAACGTATTAAATGTAACAATTGATGGAAATTATATTTATCAGGATAAATGCTTTAATTCTTGTATATCAAAAACCTTATAGGTTAAGTAACAATTTTACTTGTGGAGTATTTGGAAATTTACGAATGAAAGATGTAGGTGGCATAGTTTGATCAGTTCGATTTTTTTGATTATTTTGACTATCTCGATATTTGTATTCCTCTGCAAGCTTTCCAACACGTTCCTACATTGTAAAAGATAAAGTTATAAGAATTATTTCGGTATAAACTCTAAGTAAAGATACCACATACTTCCAAAGCAATAACGTGGCTAATTGCAGACTCTGCTAATGGGGTTGAAGCCTTCTCTACTACTAACTTTGTCCTAAGAAACATCCAGGAACGGTATAGTCCGTCATACCTTAGGTCCATGAAAAACGATTCCATCCATTCGCCTAATTATCATGAAACCTTAATTCAGTAACATACTACAAAATATAACAGCTTCTTTGTAAGCACATACCCATATTTAAAAATATACCGGCTTCGGCTGGTCCACCTTTTTTTTGTAGTTGCATATTAATTGATTTGCGGGCTCGTAATTGTGCTTTTACGGTATCTTTTTTCTGCTGTAGTGGTGTACATTTTAAAGGTTTTATTTCCGAGTTGAGAATTGTGACATCGTCAACTACACAAGAAAGGTCGGGCCTTTTTCTTGACCCTGATGTTGCACGGTTCAAAACAAGTTTGTACTCCCTTAAAGGATTAAGAAAGAAGGGTTTAATAACTGGGTAGAGAAACATGTAACAATGTTCTTCTTCTGTTATTTTTTCCGTCATTTTTGATGGGGACATTAATAGGCCATTATATCTATGTAATGTATAAAAGAAAGATTGTTGTGAGCCACAAACTCATAGATAACAAAACAAAATATGATGAAACTTGCATACTTACAAATCATTGAATGAGCACGCTACATCTCTACTTAGCTTCGTTTTTCCACCATTCATAAAAACATCTTCACCGATGAAACTGTTACAAGTTGCTTCATGAAGAGACGTTGAAACCTCTTTTGAAAGTGGGGAGTTTTTAATAGTGTATGGATTTGATTTTATAATTTCTGCCCATTCTTGATTCGTAAATATCTTAGGATATGGACACGGCCAGCTAAGAACAATGATTGAAGATAATGCTCTAAATGAAAAGATGAAAAAAATTTTTAATAAATCTTGGTTTAATCGTTATAAATGTTATATTTCAGAATGCCTACAGAGATTCGTAAATGTTTTCGTAATTTAAACCTTCTCGCTCCGCCTTCCTGAGTATATTTTTTTGGTAGTCCCGAAATCTATCTGTTACGTTAATATTGTCGACTTCCCACTAAAAAAAAGA